CTTCATGCATCAGATGACCACGATTCCAGATAAGAATACCTTGTTTTGTGATAACGAGACCCTTACTGGACTTGGAGGCCCCCTTTGTGAGTCTGAAACATGTTGTTCTAGATTAAGAGGCCCCTCTATGCGTAAGGTAGCCCTTTCCTGAAACAAGAGACCCTGTTCAAGGATAGCGAGGCCATTTGCTAAATAAGGCGAACGCCCATATTCTTGATATTTCAATTGCTGGCATTATTTACATGGACATGATGCATGTAACAGTTTCATAAGAGGGGACACGTGGCCTTTTCCCTTCGTACCACACTGTGCGGAAGGCTGCGCCCAGCCCTATGAGTCTGCTCCATTTGGTCCAGGATGCCCCCTGGAAAATCTCGCCTATAGCCAAAAATCCGTGACGCCGCCCATGGTCTCCGTCGCGTCCCAATCTATCCGGCTGGACGAGCGAGACCAGGCGGCAGGGGCGCAGCCAGGACGCTGGGAGGGGGGGGGGGGGGCACAGAGGCATGTGGTTCCCTTCGGTCCCAAGGCCTCTGAAGGGCTTTCGATACAGGCGAGCAAGGGACCGACTGGAGGGCCCCGTAGCAGGGGTTTCTGGCCGGCAGGGTCGGGCTCCCGAATGCCAGCCAGGCGGTCTCCTGCACGGATCAGGGGTCCATGGGGCAATGACGGCTCCTATACAGGAGTCAGAACCTACCGATATTATACAGTCGGGCCTGTGTCAGCCTGTGGGCTCACTTCCCAAATAGGGATAAGGCTCGAGGCTAGTGGATGCCAATCAGAGGGCCTCTTGTATTGACCGGGGTCCCTGAGGTAATGAGGGGCCCCGCCCGTGTCAGTCAGGGACCCACAGTACCGAACAGGATATTGTGTGCCAGCAGGCGGCAATGGGCTTCAAGTCGGCCAGAAGACAATTTTTGAACGGAGACAGGAACAGGAGACAGGGACAGGCGCAGGACAGGGGCGAGAAAGGGACCGGACAGGTGGCCGGCAGAGGCGGAAAAGGGACGGAATTGGTGCAAGAAGGGGCGGGACAGGGACGAAACAGGAACTGAAGAGGGAGGTGGCAGGGACGGGAGAGGGACGGGACAGGGACTGTGCCCCAAATGCCCGAGGCCCATGTACGTTAATCGGCACCCTCTGAAAATAAAGGGAGGCATGATATATAAACAACAAATTGAAATGGGCCACAATGTGTTGATGGAAGGGCCTCGCGCTAGTTAGCCACAAAACCAAACCGGGTGTCCTCTGCCATGTTGGCCGTGGGCCCGCTAAACCGCACTGAAGCCCCTGTGCCAATTAGTGTGTGAATAATGGATCTTTGTGCGCCAATGAGGGTACCTGCATGGATCTCGAGCCGGCTGATTATGTCAGGTAGCCTCTTGCTTCGGGAAGGGGACCAGTGTATGATGGGGCCCGCTCGTAGACTTAATTCGCACTCGTCATCGAGCGGGGGTGTCGTTTGGGTCCCAGTGGCGAGGATGACACCGGGCGTTGCTTGGCCAGACGTTGGTGAGATGAAGGTGTTGTCTGTTAAGGTGCACTGATTGCATTGCTGACCATTTTCCTGCCTTACACGATGCCCACATGCCTGTTTCCACGCATTGCTTCTGGATGAACCCGGATTTTCAGCGTATGTCTGATTTGGTTTAACATTTGATTGCGCTTTTACTCGGAGTGCTTTTAGTGGCCTACGTGGATTCACGATTTTGAATTTGTAGCCGCAATGATCTACTTGAAAAACATACAATGTTCCTGTGGCATGCGGCCCTACACATTAACTAGGATTGTATCCATTTGCATTTTCACTAAAATCAGACGTTGAAGGTTATGACAGAAACTGACACATAAGCAGGTTTAAGGAAAATGAATGTTCGGGGCATGTTCCTCATTTATTTTTCAGGGATCAACTCACTACACACACCCGTAGCTTGAACAGCATGTGAAAACACAGAACATCATCAGCTGACGCCTCATGGGATGAGTTGATGACCTTTGTCTGTTTCTAACACGCGCCCGGGTGGCCGGTTGGATACCCTTCGCTCGGGTGTGGGTCAATTTGACCCCCTAAGATCTCAGAAACTAACGTAGCCAAGACACCAAATTGACATGGCGTGTTGGCCTCTAAGTGAGCTCAATTCGGTCACAGTTTGAGGCTCCTAGGTTATGACCTTCCGGTCAAATAAGGTCAAACAAGTCAAACTCCAGGTCTTGGTCTCCAAAGTACCCTTGAAACCTAGGTATCTTGTCTAAGGAAAAGTTTATATGCTCATTTATGATCAGTGACCTTTTTGTCCTTTCGAAGGTCTTGTAACCAAATTCACACAAGACTGTTTTGAGTTTTGCATTTAAATAAGCGACAAAGATTACGCTAGGCAGCATGTTCCTAGGAACGAAATATTGGCGTGGGTCATCTTAGGTCTGTGACCTATTCGGACCTTAAGTCCATGGAAGATGTAATGAGGTTCCTGTTACCAAAAAATCGAAATGAGCACCAGAACCTACCGATGCAGCAAACCCCACAGAAGTCAAACAGGCTGGTTTTGACCTTAGTCTGACCTTTACACCCGACCCTCGGTCATAGGAATTTGTTAGTTTAATTGTTGTGCTGCCTTAAAAAGTATTTCAGAGATGTATGGCTTCGTCTAGCACTCTGTTCTTGCATCAGATTTAACGATTCCCTACAAATTGACCTCGCTAAATCCATGTCCTGACTTTGACCTACCGTAGGTCAGCGATCTCACTAATTTCATCTAAAATTTTGATACCAAGCGATTCGCCATTCAATTTTCTACAGCTATGCAAAATTTGGTGCAGCTACACCGCGCCGTTCGGGTACCATTCCGGGAAAATCTTCGGGGGTCAAATTGACCCCACACCCGAGTGCGTGTTGACGTATTAATGCACCTTTTGTTCCAAATTTTTAGGGCGACTCATTCGTAAAACTGCGCTAATTTTACTGAAAAACAAAACACGCTTACAAAATGAGAAAATGCGGAAATGTCCAAAATCGTATCAACTCGCCACGGGTCACGGTAGCAACGTCCACTGGGACGAATGTGCGAAGTAAGCAGCCTTACCCAGCGTCTCCATTCTGCCGTGCACCCTCATGCATTGGCACCAGCCTGTCACGTGGTGGCGTTAGCTGACCTCCGTCCAAGGTCGTGACCTCATCGTCCCCGGCCGCGCGCTGCCGGGCCGGGCAGGACCACGGCGTGGGCGCTCAAGGCGTGCGCGCGCAGACTGATCCTGTGCGCGAGCCGGCGGCCGCAGACGGGACAGACAGTCTCGCCGCGGTGCCAGGCGCGGTGCTCGCTCAGTCGCGGCGCGTTGCGCAGCCATCTGCCGCAGCCCGGCTCCGAGCACCGCAGGCCTGCAACAGACACCGTCCGTCAGTGTGCCGGTCGGCGGGCGTGGCGGCGGTGGCTCGGGCCCGGGCCGGGTCAGGCGGCGCGCCGGCGGCGGCGGCGGCGCTGGGTCATCAGGCTACTAGCGGTAACCCCTCCCGTGCTGTGTCCCGCCTGAAACGTCAAACTCTGCAGGTGGCCTGCTGGAGCGATGCTAGATGGCCAACACTGAAATGGTGCCAAGGTTAATGAAATCAAGAGCGGAACGGTCGTTTATAAGCAGGACTGCAAATGAGCGATCGGCCGCGACAGGCAGAAGGTGCGCTGTAAAATGCTTATGCCGTTACGCACGTTTGAAAGCTTCGTGCCCATTAGGTAAAGCTACACACAGTCCAAAACACGATTCAGAGGGATGTCGATTATGTGGACGCCGTAGCGAATCAAAGGAAACCCGACGGCTCATGATGTGATGCTTATATTGAAACAAACGAAATAATGCACGACACACACCACACACAAAGGTTGATGACGCCATTTTCACCAAGGGCACAACTGGTGAGCTTGTGGTGATATTCTGCGCGCAAAATAGCCATGCATCGTTCACTTCATAAGCCGCAATAAATAGCACGACGCGCATCGCCGCGAAGCCTTTGGGTCAGCGACTGCCGTGGTCACGCTGGCGCTAAGGGGCACGGGCGTACACGAAATCGAACGTCGGCGCTCCCACTACAGAACCCAACGGCCCAACCACTCGGCCGGTACGCGATCACTGAGACGATCTCCGCAGAGAAGGACAAGAATAAGGCTTTCAACGCCACATGACACGCCCAACCCAGAGAGCGCCTCAGCATCGAGAACGTACGAACATCGAGAACGTCGAGCCTGCTCCCAACGGGACCTGCACCAATGTCACCATGGCAATCTCATGGACAGCTCAAGCTGACACTCGATGCATGGGCTACTCGAAGAAAAGGTTGTACAGCCGGCGAGATTTCGTACGCGCCGTTTGTCTGACTTCGCCTGAAGAACTGGTCTGTAGAATGAGTAGAGTGGACGACAGACAGCGAGTCGGGTGGCGATCAGTGCGAGCACCCGGCCCCACCAGCCGCACATCCGAGCCGACCGGTCCAGGCGGCCCAGCCTCAGCGGTCCGCTGTCCGGCGCTGACGGTCCAGCCTCGGCGGTCCGCTGTCCGGCGCTGACGGTCCAGCCCCGGCGTCCGCTGTCCGGCGCTGACGGTCCAGCGTCGGCGGTCCCCTGTCCGGCACTGACGGTCCAGCCTCGGCGGTCCGCTGTCCGGCGCTGACGGTCCAGCGTCGGCGTCCGCTGTCCGGCGCTGACGGTCCGGCCTCGGCGGTCCGCTGTCCGGCGCTGACGGTCCGGCCTCGGCGGTCCGCTGTCCGGCGCTGACGGTCCAGCCCCGGCGTCCGCTGTCCGGCGCTGACGGTCCAGCGTCGGCGGTCCCCTGTCCGGCACTGACGGTCCAGCCTCGGCGGTCCGCTGTCCGGCGCTGACGGTCCAGCCCCGGCGTCCGCTGTCCGGCGCTGACGGTCCGGCCTCGGCGGTCCGCTGTCCGCCGCTGACGGTCCAGCGTCGGCGGTCCAGGACTGGCCGTGCCAGCCGCCCGTCACGCACACCGGACCCGCCATCCCGCTAGACCGGCGGCGACGGCCACGGCCCGCGCGGCCGCTTGGGCACCACCACGCTGTGCACCATCAGCAGGTGCTTGTGCAGGTTGTGCTTGCTGGTGAGCACGCGGCTACAGAGATTGCAGCGGGTCTCGCCGCGGTGCCAGGCGCCGTGGTCGCTCAGCCGCGGCCGGCTGGTGAAGCGACGGTCGCAGCCCGGTTCGCGGCACAGAAAGCCTGCAACTGGCCAGCGGCAGCGGTCAGCGGCCTGAAGCTGGTCAGCGGCGGCGGTCAGCGGCCTGCAACTGGTCAGCGGCGGCGGTCAGCGGCCTGCCACTGGTCAGCGGCGGCGGTCAGCGGCCTGCTACTAGCCGGCGGTGGTGGCCAGCGGTTTGAAGCTGGCCAGCGGCAGTGGTCAGCGGCCGGCAGCTGGCCAGCGACGGCAGTCAGCGGCCTGCCACTGGTCAGCGGCGGCGGTCAGCGGCCTGCTACTAGCCGGCGGTGGTGGTCAGCGGTTTGAAGCTGGCCAGCGGCAGTGGTCAGCGGCCGGCAGCTGGCCAGCGACGGCAGTCAGCGCCCTGCAACCGCCCAGCGCCGGCGGCCAGTGGCCTGCAGCTGGACAGCGGCGGCGGTCAGCGGTCAACAGGCCGGCAGGTTTCGCGGCGGCAGGGACGCCGGCCCGTCATACACCCGACGGTGGCCACCCTCTCACACCCGGGGCCAGGCGGAGAGCGGGTGTGAGTGCGCAGAGGCAGGTGACGTCAGGTCTGAGAACGCCGCCGCCGCACCACAGTCACGCCATGGGGGTCAGAGGACTGGGCTGGGGCATGAAGGCCACGAGCGTGATGGCTAAGTGACATCACAAGGGACAGTCAGTGTGCGGGAGCATGGACGATAATGGATTCGTGTGGACGGAACATCAACGGGCACCCTGCGGTATCCAGAACGTACCACAGACAGCGGAGGACATTCGCAACCCGACCAGAAGAACAAATTGGGGTTGCGGAGATGCCTTCTGTCAATCAGCTGGACACTGCCATCAGCATGTGCTGAATTAATCCGAATCGAAGCAAATCATTGTTTTTAAGAGGCTGCAGTTCTCAGAAAACCTTCCCACCAAGATGGAAACGATGAAAATTTGTCATTTCAGCCGCCACTCTCACTATGCGGTACGTCCTGAGTGATGTGTATACTAAACTCTTCTCGGAAATACCTATGGTTGGGCGCTTACAGCGTAAGGTACGTGAAGGTATTAACCACATATGCTGTTTGCGCGATCGAGCGGATAATAATCAGCGAGACCGCCGCGTAGATCCGGCCGCCCGCCGCAAAGATCCGGCCACCCACCGCGAAGATCCGGCCGCCCGCCGCGTAGATCCGGCCGCCCGCCGCGAAGATCCGGCCACCTGCCGCTTGCCTGATCAGGCGGCTGAGGCCGAGGACGACGCCAGCTCATCGGTGCTGAAGTGGTGTGGCCGCGACCCTGCTGACAACCCTTGTATCGCTGTCCACCGCTCACTCGAAGGTCAGACGACCGCCCAGACACCCGTGCGTCATCGGGTACGGTGAGTCTATTCCTTGCTCGTAGGAGCCCGTGCAGTGGCTGCACGACCAGCGCCACACCAGCCACGCCAGGGCAAGCGCTCTCCCACCCCACACGTGGCCGGCTAGCAACCGAGATTGACATATTAAGATTCGTGGGTAGAGGAGCAGGGACGGCTCGGGTCCCACTGTTCGCTAACACGTGCCCGGTTAGGGATCAAATTGATCCCTATCGAAGGTTTTTCCAGATCGATTTCCGAGCGGCGCGGCGTAGCCGCGCCAAACTAAAACTAAAATACAGCTAAAAAGTCAGGTCATAGCTGTCAGCGAAGGCCATTTCCAGGAATCGTTCACCCTGGTGAGACAACGGAGTGTCAGACGAAGCCATACATATCTGGAAGAGCTCCGTAAGCAATAAACCAATTGAATCTAGAATCACAACAAATTTCAGTGATCTACCTAAAATGACCCAGGTCAACATTTTGTTTTTAGGAACATACACCTAAAGCAATCACTGACGCTTATTTGAATGACAAAATAGGAGCAGCCTCGTAGGTTTTTGGTCACCTTAACCTTCTAAAGGTGAAAAAGGTCATTGCCCTTAAGTGAACACCACTGGCCTTTTGCTTATAACAAGCATCTGGAGTCAGGGTGGTTGCATGAGGAGATCTGAAGGCATTTTGGACACCAATCTGGAGTTTGACGTTGTTTGACCTTATTTAACCCCAATGGCATGACCTAAGAAAATCAAATTTAATCCAAGTAAGTTCACATGTACGCCAACACACGCTGTGCATTCAGTGTGTCTAGCTGACACACTGAAGTCAATAAATGCAACTGCCAGTATCACTGACCGTATATTTCTGTCCCACCATCACTTCAATAACAATGTGTATGAGAACGGCATGTATCCAGTGGAAACAAGCGAAATGCACCGCCGTGTATGAGTAAACGCTTTAAAAAGCACGACCCGCTGTCTCGCACTGGCTCCATCAGAATGCGCCGGCGTGCTTCGGCTGAAGCGTGTCTCGTCACACACTGACGGGTCCGCCGCCAGCCCCGAGCGTCCCTCAAGGCCGCTGGTGTCGGCGCCGACGGCGGCCACAGCGGCCACCAGGCCTGCCCCGACGGCGGCGCGTCCCGCCAGCTCCGCTGTGGCGCCGGCGGTCGGCCTCTCGTCAGTCGCCTCATCTGATCTCGTCTCGTCAGCGAGGCGGCACTAGCAGGCCATGCATGACGCGCATGTGCCGGCGCAGCTCCACCTTGCGGGAGAGGGTGCGGCCGCACAGGTGGCACGTCGTCTGGCCGCGGTGCACCGTGCGGTGGTGGCTCAGTGACGACCGGTTGCCGAAGGTGCGGCCGCATGTGCGGCACACATGCAGCCGCGCCGCACCGGCCGCCGCCGCCGCACCGCCCCGAGCGCACGCTAAAACAGGAGGAGTGCGTCAGTGGCGGGCTAGCGGCGGCGGAGCGGCGCGGCTGCCGACCGACCGCTACCCAGCCGCCGTGTCAGCGTCCTCCACCGCGAGAAGAGCGCCGGTGGTTCGGAACGCAGAGGTCCGGCGGCTTGGAATAAGGAGGTTTGGTGAATCGAAACACGGAGGTCCGGTGGCTTGGAACATGGAGGTCTGGTGGCTTGGAACACGGAGGCCTAGTGACTTGGAACAAGGTCGGGCGGCTTGGAACACGGAGGTCGGCATTAAATCGTCCGCAACAACTGGATGGCCAACGAGCAGCTGGCTGATGTTTAAAAACGATGGCTTTGTTCAGGCTGCTGTAAAGACCCACGTATTCAAAACTATAGCGCCATCCTTGTGACGTAACGAGCTGCCCTAAAGCCTCACCTCGTGGCAGCCGATACACGCCGCAGCACCACGCACACGCAGGCACCGTCGGAATTCGTTGGCCCAAATGTGACGTCGGACACATGTACCATCGTCCCCAAACTCTCGCGCATCTCTCGAGAAACAGCCAAGCATGCAGCGAGAGGGCGTTCGGAAGTCGCACCCAGCACAGGGCTGCCGCTGTCGTTTCGAGGTGTGTGCGGGCCACTTTTTAATTGGCACAGCTTGCATTGGCACGTATCAGCCGTCCAGATAGCTAACGGCCGCCATTCCTCCGTTGTATTCACGAAAACAAATCACAGTGGTTTGAATTCAGATTTGTGATGAACACCACACCGCCGTTTACCGGCGGTGACAGCATCAGTCAACATCTAAATGTCTGAGTGCATTTCATCATCGTCTAAGCGCATTTCAACTCTCACATGGAGCCCCCAACGATCCACGCAACAGAGGTGATGGCATGTCGAAATGGGAGACCTTGCTTCCAAAAGGGCACAGCGTCGGATCTGACATCGACATGATAAAACCTCACCCAAAATGTTCCAATCACCGTAAGGTTGGCGCAGACTATTCGCAACGGCAAACAAAAGCCTCCACTTAGCCTGCAAGCTCGCCAACGTGGAGAGCCACCCAAACGTCCAAAACATACCCCAGGAAAGCAGCGGGCGGTGTCTCTGAGGGCGCATCTCCCGGCCCGGCCGGCTCTCCCGCCATCTCCACCCGTGCTTGCGGCTGCATTCAAGCTTCGCTCGGCACCCGACGAACCCCGCGCGGCGCCGGTGGCTGGCGGCCGGCGGCGGCGGCAGCAGGTCACGTGAGCCCGTGCTGCGCGCGCAGGTGGGTGCGCATGTGTTCGCGGCGTGAGAACACCCTCTGGCAGACGGGACAGCGCGTCTCGCCGCGGTGCAGGCCCATGTGGTGCGCCAGGGACGTCCTGCGCGCGAACGTCTTGCCGCAGACCGTGCAGGGGAATGGGCCGGGGCCGGGGCCGCCGCCGCCGCCGCCGCCGGCACCCGACGGCCGGTCGTCCATCCACGACAGGCCGGCGCCGGTCACCGGCACACCGCCTACCGGCAGAGAGGAGCACCACAGCGCGGTCAGGGGCACCGTCGGCGCAGCGCACGGGCGGCGCAGGGCACACCGGCCGGGCCGTCTCGCCATGGTGCCGCCCGCTCCGAGTTGGCGCGGGGTGTCGGCGGTGGCGGCGGCGGGGATCAGCTATGGCCAATCTGTCACCGTGGTGACGGCCGACGGCACCACGAAATGACGCCGACCGTTTTCGAAATGGGAATATAGAGGCGCTGCATGATTGTGGGCATTAGTTCGATAGCCTGAAGACTTTCGCTCACGCCATGCCACTGAGCTTATAATGCTGCCCGGCACCCGGGGACGTTTCCCGGCCAGCGGTCATGATCCTCACGTTCATCCCAGCCACCGGCCGCTATCGGTGAACGCAGCCCGAGCAGAGTAAGCGTGCGCTCTTAGTCTCCCAGACGGCCTCGCGCCGTGCGGCCGGATGGCAGCCGGTGCAACCGGAGACATTGCTTGCGCACAGCACACCGCCACGAGCTGGTCTCCGTGGTTTCCGCCGGTTTTATTTAACTAAATCCCCACCCCCCCCCCCCCCCCCACCCACGTAAGAAACAGACGCAGACTGCGTCCACGCAGTCGATCCTGCGAAAACGGTCCCGGCGCTGGCGGAGAGACGCGAGGCCGCCTGGACCCAGCGAGCGCCACGACGACCCCACACCCTCACTGGCCAGCAGCGCGCCGGCCTCGGCCTTCTCGTCAGCGGCTCGGTCGCCACGTCGCAGACCGCGAGGGACATCCAGCAACCTCGCCCTCACACTCACCGCGGCCGCTACCGGAGGCGCGACGGCGGAGGCGGTGGCGGCGGCGGCGGCGGCGGCGGCGGCAGCGCGGACCGCGAGCTGCCGTGGAAGTTGCGCCGGTGCTCGGAGAGGTTGGACAGCGTGCTGAACACGCGGCCGCACAGTTCGCACACGGTGCGACCCTCGTGAAGCGCCCGGTGGTTGCGCAGCGAGTCGCGGCTCTTGAACGCCTTCTGGCAGACAGCGCAGCGCGCGCCGCCGGCCGAGCTACCTGCGCCACAGCAGAGAGGCCAGGTTAGAGCACGGCGGCGGCGCGCCGCCACACCGCGAGCGACTCGGCGCACCGAGTGTTGTGGACCTATCGCCGCACATGTTATACCGTCGCGCTGACTGGCGCACGTGTAGGGGGGAGCGTCACATGCGGCTGGTGCATCAGATCAGACGATGGCAATGATGACTCAATGAATTTGCGATAAGACAACAGACGGCGACCCATCAGATTTTCGACGTAAGTTCCTAACAAACTCTCGGTGGACAATCCTCATCTATGTAGATTGTGGACTGGACTCTCAGCCGACATCCCTATTAGCGCATTTTTTCCCGAAGATCGCCCAGGAACGGAGCAGGCCGCACGCCGCGCAGTGTTCCGAACACGATATCCTAATAAGCCTACACCATCCGTCCCCAGCAGCGACACGGCGCCATGCCATGTGAGAACAAGACATTCTGCAACGTGATAAAGCGTGTGGCGGCCCGCCGCTGCGCACTGGGTGCCGACGCTGGCGGCCCGCCTGCGCCCGCGCGGACACTGGGACGGGGCATGAGAGCGCGGTGCCATCTGACCGCTCGCGCCTGCCCCAGGGCCTCAGTGCCCGCGGCGCGCCCCGGCGATGAACCCTAACTGCACGGGGCTAACCTTCCGGCGACTGCGGAGCTGGACCAGTCCGTGGAGAACAGATCTGAGCGACGCCGCTGGACGAGCAGTCTAACCACCACCACCGGGCGCGACGTTTGACCACGACCGCTTCTACGTCGATGCCGATGGGCGCTGAATAATACTGTCGCCGTCGTTGACCGCAGCATGACACCATAGCCAACAGCCGGGAGCAGACCATCACTGCTCCCGGCCGCGCCCGCCGTCACCGGGCCGGTGTCGTGGTGACCAGCGTCACGCGTCACGAGCCCGGGACTGGAGCGGGACATACACAGCGGCGGAGTGGCCGCTCAGAGGGGCGCCACGACTCTGGATCCGGTCGGTCAGGGCGCCGAGGCACGCCAGCCAGGCCCCGTGAATATCTGCACATCGACCTCTCCGAGACCGCCGGGGATGCCCCGTCAGGGACCTGGTCCACAGCGGGTCACCTGTCCTCCACAGGCATACCCGCCCAGCCGTGGAGTCCAACAATGGACGTTTATTTGGACCATTATGAACAAGGCGATAAAACATAGCGTACATCCATAACAAGCTGCATCCCGAAATAACAGCCATTAACTAAATACAACGGATACGTTTGTTTGGATCATCGTGAGCAGCATGATACATGGCAGTGGTTCAATAAGTCGCATCACAAATGGATATCAATGCACAGCTCCAATAACCCTTTCAAAGTAATGACAGCGCCAGCTACTAACCATTTTAGTTTCTGTCGAAGCTGCTGGCAGGCAACCCGCTCCAAGCGACGCCGATCCCAAAGTACACAAGACTACGACAACTTCAGGCAGCGTGATGTCACTTGACGATTTCCACGGCCCAAAAGATTCCAGCATTCGGCACACTTTGCGGTGGAGTGGTGCAGCCCGGCCGGAACGGTCAGCCGCCAGCGACCGCCGCCCTACCCAGCTCCGGAGGCCCTTCCGGCCACGCACCAAAGGGCCCGGGGCCCTCTGCCGGGCCCGCTGCCAGGCCCCACTCCGTCAGCGCAGCCCCGGGCCACACCACGCGGCGAGGGAGAGCGGACAGCGTCCGAGTTTGCGCGGTGTCCCGGCTCGACCCGTGGGCGGCCGGCCGCTCCGGCTCGCCCCTAGCGCCGCCTCCACCGGCGTCAACCGTCCGGCACCAGCCTCGTGGACAGGACCGCCGGCTCCAGCTCTGGCGGCAGCACCAGCCACGGCCCGCTGACCACAGTACGCCACGCCCGCAGCGAACTCATCTTCACACTGCCCGCTTCCGCGACACCGCCTCCAGCAGCGCGCGCTTCTGGATCGCGCCGCCGCGGCGCTCGCCATCAGTTCACAACCGGCTCGGCTACGTCCAGCCCCACACCGCTCGAGCCCTCGCAGACGCCGCTACCGGCTCCCTTCCGCTGACTGCAGTACAGCCTGCGCTCCAGGACGCCGTTCGGCACGGCTAGCGGTCGCCCGCGGCGGGCCTGCCGCCTCGGAGCGCCTCTAACGCCGTCAGGGATGCTCCGTGGATCTTAGCGCGCCGCCGCGGCCTCGTGACAACTGATGCGCCGCCGCGCGCCGCTCAAGGAGGCGCCAACCGGACGGCGTCGCACGGGTGGCACATGCGCAGGTGCTGCGTGAGGTAGGCGCGCCGGCTGAACACGCGGCCGCAGACTGGGCAGCGCGTGCGGCCCTTGTGCACCTCCTTGTGGAAGCGCAGCGAGTCGGGGTGCCGGAAGACGGCGCCGCACAGGGCGCACACGTGCGCGCCGGCCGCCGCTGCAACAGACACGCGCCGTCCGTCAGCCCGCGAGACCAGCAGGTTCGCGCGCGTCACCGCCCGCCGACAGGCCGACCAAGCGCGCCTCTGCAGAGTCGGCGGACGGAGCCGAGATGCCGACGGAATAAGTCTTTCACAGATTTGGAGGAATAAAACGCTCGATTCCGATTCGACTTATATGTGCATCGCGGCGGCGAAAGCATCCAAATGTACCGACACCAACTCATAGACGTCGATTTCGGGCCAAGGAAAGAGCGTCTACTTTCCTCGATGATCTTCCGGTGATATGCAAACGCAACTAGGTGTACGTAGAACATCATTGATGCCAGTACCAATACATAAAGCACGTTTCTCGCCAACGTGATCCCAATATCGTTCATAGTTCCACGGCCTTGAGCTCGGACCGCCACAACAGACAGAGCAACACTCGCTGGCGAGTGCTTCCCTATACGTGAATTTGCAAGCGTGTGTTGGCTTAGTGGTGGTTAACCCAAGGCCAGCAGCGTTAAGAACGGCTCTCGTAACGCCGCGCTGTAATGACCGCAGTCGTACCACATACGGGATAATCCACGCTGAGCCGGACATTGCCGCGCAACGAATGCTTGGCGATCCAGGTCTGCACACCGCCCACACCAGTCAGCTGCTGGCGCAAGCGGCCGTGGTCGGCGGCGCCGTGAGCTCCCAGCTCCCGGCCCGGCTCAGACCGCTGCGTCCGCGGAAGTAACCAGAGCGCTGCGTCCGCGGAAGTAACCCCGCCGAGTCCCCCACTGCTGCGCGCGCTGTGCCGGTGGCGCCACGCAGTGCAGTGGCCCTCGCCGGCTGGCACGCTCACGGGGCTATTCAGAGCTCGTTAGGGCGTGCGTCTGCTGGGCCACTGGCCACGCAGTTTTCCACACGGGGTGAGCCAACGAATGACCAGCAGGTAGCGGCCAGCGCTGGTCGTGGCGAGCTTGGCAACACTACAAAACGCACCACGCCTCGCGTACACGTGCCACTATCACCGACCCGGCGGCTCCGCGTCCTTGGCGCTGCCTGTGGACCCGACTGCGTGCTGCGGCTGACCTGGCCGGTGCCACGTCCGGCTGGGCCGCCGGCCGTGTGACGCGGGCAGGCCGGCGCGCTGGCTGGCAGCCGGACGCAGGCGGCCTGCTGGCCCCGTCGAGCGCGCGCCGAGCGGGAGCCCGGCGCCCCACTCCAGCCGCGGGTCGCAGCGACCTTCACGCCGAGTAGCGTGCGGCTGACCCGGCCTGCGCTCTGCTGCCTGCACGTACCGGACTTGACAGGGCGGCGCGCGGCGCCCCGACAGCCGCCGCCACTCTCGGCCGGGCCAACGGCGTCGCGGGCACGGTGCCGTCGGCCTCCGGGGCTTGCGGCAAACGGCGCGGCGCGGGCTGGCCACCGAACACAGCCTGGGGCGCACGGGCGCGGACCGAATCTCACCCGACCGCACTCCGCACCGGCCACAGGTTACATGCAGCGAGTACTTCCGGTCAGTTACAAACTGGAGACCACGCTGAACAAGCAGGACACTCGGCATTCAGAGCACCAATGCAGAAAGTGACCGGTGAAACTGGTGGCTTGACCGACAGGGCAAGCCGGTCAAGCCGCGACGATCAGGTGCCGCCCTGGGCGTGTATTTTGACGGATACACATGCCATGCGTGAATTGGGTGCCAGCAGTAAGGCTACCTGGCACATTCGTGTAACGTTCCGACCGTTTTTCCTGGCGAGGGCTTGATCCAAGCCCGGCTGGTCCCGTTACAATGTCAAAGTGGACAAAATGCGCATACAGTCGCAATTTTGTCCTTGCATGAAAAAGATATCATTTGAACGCACAAACGTCCTACAGCCGAGAGACGTCCCCTCGACGCGCTCAAGAGTTCTGGCGCACGTGTTGTCAAATTTCGTTTTCTTTTCCCGAATATTGGCACGGTGCCGGCAGTACCTTTTACAGTACATCCTGTGCTCACGTTCGCACCAGAGCGCCCTCCACAGCCCAGAGCAGCACCTGGCAGTTGAAGCTACGAGACGGACTAACCTTGCGGGGCGCCGTCTTCCGCCACTCCAGCCGCTAACATTTCACTGCCTCCTGAAGAAAGAAGAACGCGGGCCGTCATGCAACACGAATGTGGTTTTCAGGCCGAAAAATTCTGACGCGCGGCACATAGAATATAACGTGGAGGGGGGGTGGGGGGGGGGGGGAGCACAAATCGCAGCGGAATTAGGGACCGCTGATTTTCCCGATTCGGTTTCCATGTAGACTTGACCATCGACACTATGAGCTGAAAGTTCCTACGTCGAACTAACGATCTTCACTATGTCAGGAGGTGCTGGTTCAGAGGCGTTGCACTAGCGCAACACGAGAGCTGAATGCCTCTTTTTCTTCTACCATGCACCGACACCAGAACCAAACGCTCTACCGTGTTCTCTGCCGTGCTTCTGCGCCGAATTTTGCGCTAGCGACATGCTGCTCAGATTTCGACGGGCATATCGCCCGGAGCTCGACATAGCCCTCGGAGTGATCAGTCTACTGATGCAGACTGGCCAAACCTTCCGAGTGCACGCCCCAGACCCACCTTGATCTGAGATTCCGCTGAAGAGGCCGGACATGTCGTGAGAGCTCGTCGAGTTGTCCCCGTCGAACTGAGACGCCTCGAACGTTGACACCTGGCCCAGCGTGGCCTCTAAGCTCTCGTCGTCGTCGTCGTCGGCAATGTCTATTTTCTCCACTTTGATGTAGTCGTTGCGGGCGGGCGGCTGGTGCTCCCGGAGCGGCGTCGGCGACTCGGCCGGGTCGGCGGCGGAGGTAGCCGGCAGCGGCGATGGCAGTGGCGGTGGCGGCAGCGGCGGCGGTGGTGGCGGCGCTGTCGGCAGCGGCGCCGCCCCGTCCCCGGCCGGCTCCTGCGGCGGCGTCACCATGGGCGGCGGCGGCAGCTGAGGAGGAGGAGGAGGAGGCGGGGGAGGAGGCGGAGGCGCCCCCGGCGCCGTGTGCACCGCCACTGGCGAGTCGGGCCGGCTGCCTGTCGACCCGGAGAGCCGGCGCCGCTTGTGTCGAGGCGAGACTGGCGCATCAGGCGGCTCGCGCGGCCGCGGCCGGCCGGCCGGTGCAGCAGGCGGGGGCGGTCCGGCAGCCAGACGAGGCCGCTCCGCCGGCCTCTCGCGGACCACCGCCGCCGCCGGCTGAGATCGGGGCACCTGACAAACACGCCGCAGCCGCCAGTTAGCAAATATCATGTGTGATCATATGGTGCCACTCGGTCGAGACTGGGAATAATGACTCTGAGCAGGAATGACTCCCAAAACATGTTCCTCGAATCTCTACTTTTCAAGTAGCGATTCAAGGTTCAAAGTACGAATTCACTCATTTCAGGTTAAATGTACATGCTTAAGCCAAGAAACAGATTATGAAGGCCATGGACATACCATGTGCAATCTGAACAAGCTACATCCCCTACAAGACAACTACCACCCACCTGTTCATCATCATCATCTCCTGATAGACCTTTGACTTGGAGCATCTCTGCAGTCTTCAGAAAGCTGCCCAGCTGACTCTGGAGGACATTGACCTCACCCTTGTACACAAACTCAATGACTGCTGCAATGTCCACATATGATGTGTCCTTGAGGAAGAAAAGTGGATGCTGGCATGGATTGTCCTGAAAGAAACCATATCATTTGGTCAAAGTGGGATAAGGATGAGAAGCATCTTCATTCATGCTTTTTTGAACTCTAGTAGAGGGATAAGATTTGGCATGAACAACATGAAAAAACATAACTAATGCCTCTTCATAGTACTGAGTGCCTTTTTAAACCTATGTCATTTCAGATATCGCTGTTTTGCATACCATAGTTAAATTCAGTACATCTACTTTGAACTGAATCCAGCCTTTAGCGTAATTCATTAACACCATGAAACAACAGATTCCCTGTTCTTTAATTAAAAAACGTAAGTCACTGCTACAAGACATTCTGGGTTGCAATAGATGTAGTTCATGCAATGTTTTTTTCTTTAACTTCACCCATTCCCCACAGTGTCCTACTCTTTATAGCTTACAGCAAAATGAGATGCACACACAACATTAAAAAAGCCAATAACCACAACATTAGAGCATAAAAACTGAGCATTTGTTCATGCATCAAATATGGCCACTTACTTTCAGAAGATCTCTGAAATATGGGCTGCAGGCAGATAGCATCATCCTGTGTGCCTTTATCTTCTTCCCCTCACAACACAGTGTAATGTCCACTAGCTCCTCATCTTGACGAAGATTATCAAAAACAGATGTGACACTGTTCTTGAAGTTGTTCCACTTCAAGCAAAACTTCTGTGGTGTGACCATGATTGGCTGAAAGGAAGAGATCATTTACTCCAGCCATGCACAGTTATGTGTTGCAATGATTGCTTTCATAGATCATTGCTTTGCTACACTTACTTGAGCTTACATGAAATGCTGCAAAATCATGGCTAGATCATGGGTTAAGGTTTTCACATAGGATAGTGCTCAAATAGAATATTCCTATTCTGGTTGTCACTGATGTCACAGATACACTTAGTCAATGTCCTTCAGGTTACTGCAGTTTCCATCTGTCAGTCAGGGGAAAGTATTTATGATGAATGCTACAATCCAGGTTCTAACTTAGACTCCAGTGAGCTATGACAAATCCTAATACACATGATACTGATGATGATTTGGGCTCTAATGTGCACCAATCACAAAATTGAACATGTGTTGGTCTAGATGCAGGGTAGGGACTCTATTGATCTATAAGGCTCTATGCTTTTTGTGGGAAGCTGCACAGGGCATGCAAAAATGCCATGTGGCAACTGCAGTGGTTACACACAGAGCATACACAGGATTTCACAATGGGAACTACAATGCAATACCTCCTGTAGAAAGCCAAGTTCAGAGCAATGCATGCACATGAAATGTACTGTGTTGTAAAAGATTACGTCCTCCATCTTCCTATTTTGATATGTACTATAAAAAAATTGTGTATGCTGTAAACATTTGGTCATCTACAGAAACATTTAACATAACTTTGGTAACAGGGGAGGACCCGCTCCCCTGTTGTGTTACAGTGAGGCAGTAACCCCCATGTCCCCAGGTTGACTGCAAACATAACATGCTATGATAAACTGATCCAGGCAAAAAAAGGTTCACAAGGTAATCTGAGGGCTTAGAGCTTGGGAAATGGTCAGCACCAATTTTAGCCTATAGAGAGCCAACATCTCAATGAATAACCATGTTACAACAGAAATTTCAGCCAAAAATACTAAAAAATCAAACATGAAAAATGACATGAAAATTCAGTGCAATTAAGCCTGGCCTGAGTTCAGTGCATGTAAACATGAGGTTCAACACAATCATGTTGTGTATGCATCCACACAGTGGATTGATTTTGGACACTGGCCCCTAATCACACAGGAAGGAATGAGCAACATATGATGGCACTTTCATCATGTCAACATCTTAATCTGCATAATTACTGTCACAGCCAATGACCAAATGTGTTATTTCACTTCTTCAGGAACTGCAGGGGCTGAAAAGTGGTGTTTCTTAGTAAGGTCCAGGAATACATTGCTACCTCATGCTAAAAAAGAGCAATGTACATCAATCATTGTTTTTTAAGGCAGAACATGGCAGAACATGAACATAAGGCAGAACTTCTTAATATGGTACCTATTTATATGGCATGGAACATAGTGCTGATGAACACTGGGTTGAAAGGGATAGGGTGGGGGGTTAGGTTAGGTTAGGCTAGGTTAGGTTAGGTTAGGTTAGGTTAGGTTAGGTAAGGTTGTTAGGCTACGCTAGGCTAGGCTAGGTTAGGTTAGGCTAGGTTAGGTTAGGCTAGGCTAGGCTAGTTTAGGCTATTTTCTGGACTATTCTGGCCTGTCTGTTTCATAAATATACCTAGACGTGATAAGAAATGTTTTCCATTGCATTATTTTTGTTACCTTGGCCCCTTACATTTTTTATGGTTCTTGATAAGCAGAAATTTTGTAATTGTGCAGCGCTAACACACAAACGGCGCTGGGGGGGTCGAGGTGGCAGGTTGCGTGCAGTGCTCGGGAGCTCACTATTGTAGCTATTAAAATTTGAAGGTAGGAGCACTAATCTACTTGTTTTACAATTATTTATGATGTTCTGCCTGAAACATGACAAATGATGTACAATAACTTTTTCTATCATTAGGTACCAATGTATACCTACACCCTTATTAATGCTGCAGAATCACAAGCTTATGCTAAATTTGGATAACACCAATGATATCCTGCCAGGTTGACAGGTTCTAGACAGGACCTGGGCCGGGCTCTACACAATGCACACCTACACAATTTTCCAATTTTAATGATTTAATCCAAACTTTTCACACATGGATTTTTTTTAGATCAGAGCACATCAACGGGAGAGAACGTGAGAGCACTGTCAAGAACAAATATTGAGCACCTAGAGCGACTCGAGCCCACTCCACCACGGGTGGGTGGATCGAAACGCAGACGCTTCAGCCAACTGAGCCAGCGGAACGGGGCTGCAGAATGCGTCTTCATATCGCGATTTACTTCTGCAGTACAATAATGCGTTGGCTTTGCGATAAATGTACTATCACATTGTATTACAGCTCACCGCGCACCTTACCTGGCCTCCACTCGCCCGGCTATGTCCAGCGCGCTTACCGCGCTTTGCGCGATTCCCTTCATTCCGTCGCATTCGCTCCATTCGCCTCAAACGCCTCGTTCAAATACCTCGTCTGAAAGCCAACACTAGTTTGCAGCCATCCATGCCATCAACTCAAAACTCACCAATCGCGGCCTGATTTTCTCCAAGTTTGCGCAAATCGAAAGTAAGAATGCAATCTTAATAAGTGTTTAGAAACTGATGATAATATGATGATGAAAATAAGTGTGTAGAAAAAGACTGTGACCTGAGGTCACCGCTAAAAAAAACCTGATGGAATAGTCTCCCTTTGCTGGTTGCTGCTAAACGTTCCTTGGAAATGGGCCGAGCGATTTCCGTGTTGGACCAAAGTGCAGTGCTCTAGCTCATGCGGTTCATTGCTGGTTTACATGTCATATGTGTTGCCGTTGACATGAAGTTCACACATATGCGGTTCTCAGATAAAGATGGTGAGCAGAGGTCAGTGGCGCAAGCAGAGTGTTACGCGGCGGAGTGCTTGATTACAACCGGGGTCGGGTGCTCGCTCGGATCTGTGGGTTGTTCGGGAATCTGGAATACAGAGCCGCGCGCGGATGGTGCGCCGAGCGAATTGTTTCATCCATCATGCATGGATAGATCAACTGGCGACAAGGATGGGATGGTGAACTTTGTTTTTTTACGTGGCGGCAACATGATAACTTTATCACTGATTGGGAATATCGGTGAGAACAGTGACAGTGACTCGGATTTTGGAGAGTATCTGGAGCGGTTTGACCAGTTTCTGGCTGCTAACGCCATCACGTCTGCGCCCAGGAAACGGACAGCATTTTTGAGCGTCTGTGGGTCACGCGTGTACTCGGTTCTGCGAAGTATCTGTGTTCCGGAGCTACCCGCCTCGAGAATCTCCGAGGAGCTGGCGGAGGCAGCCCAGAGACATTTTGCCCCGAGGCCGACAGTGATCGTGTCACGGTATAAGTTTAATCGGACAGTGCAGCAGGCTGAACAGACAGTGCCAGTGTTTTTGGCGGACCTGCGGCGGATTGTAAGGGACTGTTCGTACGGTGATCGCCTGGAGGAGCAGCTTCGGGACATATCTGTGTGCGGGCTAAGCAACGGAGCGATGTTGAAGCGACTTCTGCGGGAGGGGGACAGCCTGTCTCTGGAATCCGCCGTAGAAATAGCGACCGCGATGGAGACAGCAGCTGATGATGTGCAGGAGATCGGTGTCGCTCCATAGGCAGTCCCGCTGACGACTCCAGCAGCGGCCAGTTCCAGTCCGGAGCCGCTGCACGCAGTCGGTCGGGCGGCGCCGCCGCCGGAAGGGCTGAGGTGACGACCCCGCCCATTTCGGCCGGCGGCGGCGACTACGGCAGGGCCGGCGGCGGCTGGGCCGGCGAGTTTTGGCAGCCTGCCAGGCACATCAGCTGGTGGAGCATGCGTACCCTGTGGTCGCCACGATCACCCAGCGCCGGAATGTCCACACAGACGGGCCACCTGCTATGGGTGTGGAAAAGTGGGACAACTTCGGAATGTGTGCAAATCGGTGCATACTGTACTGGCGGCAGCGCGGAATGGATG